AGGCAGCTGCAGAAATTTGCATAAGTAATGAGGAGCTGAATGTTAATCCCCAAGACAATGGGGAAAATGTCTCCAGGGCATGTCAGAGGTCTTCATGGCAGCCCCTCCCATCACAACCTGGAGGCTTAGAAGGAAAAGTGGTTTTGCAGGCTGGGCCCAGAGTCTCTTTGCTGTGTGCAGTCTAGCGACTTGGTGCCTTGTGTTCCATCCACTCTAGCTGTGACTAAAAGGGGCCAAGGTGCAGCTCAGGCTTTTGCTTCAGAGGGTGGAAGCCCCAAGCCTTGTCAGCTTCCACATGGTATTGAGCCTACAGGTGCAGAGAAGTCAAGAATTGAGGTTTGAGATTGTCTGCCTAGATTTCAGAGGATGTATGGAAATGCCTGGATGCCCAGGCAGAAGTTTGTTGCAGGAGAACCTCTGCTAGGGCAGTATGAAAGGGAAATGTGGGGTCAGAACCCCGACATGGAGTCCCTCCTGGGGCACTCCCTAGTGGAGCTGTGAGAAGCAGGCAACTACCATCCAGACCCCAGAATGGTAGATCCACCAACAGCTTGCACAAGGTGCCTGGAAAAGTCACAGGCACTCAATGCCAGGCCATGACAGCACCCAGGAGGGGGGCTATATCCTGCAAAACCACAGGGGCAGAGCTGCCCAAGACCATGGGAACCCACCTCTTGCATCAGCATGACCTGGATGTGAGACATGGAGTCAAAGGAGATCATTTTGGAGCTTTAAAATTTGACTGCCCCGCTGGATTTTGGACTTTCAGGGGGACTGTAGCCCCTTCGTTTTGGTTAATTTCTCCATTTGAAATGTCCATATTTACCCAATACCTGTACCCCCGTTGTCTCTAGGAAGTAACCAAATTGCTTTTGATTTTACAGTCTCATAGGCAGAAGGGACTTGCCTTGTCTCCAATGAGACTTTGGACTGTGGACTTTTGAGTTAATGCAGAAATGAGTTAAGACTTTGAGGAGTGCTTTACTTCCAATTATGTGGTCAATTTTGGAAGTGCGATGTGGTGCTGAGAAGAATGTATATTCTGTTGATTTGGGGTGGAGAGTTCTATAGATGTCTATTAGCTCTGCTTGCTGCAGAGATGAGTTCAATTCCTGGATATCCTTGTTAACTTTCTGTGTCGTTGATCTGTCTAATGTTGACAGTGGAGTGTTGAAGTCTCCCATTATTATTGTATGGGAGTCTAAGTCTCTTTGTAAGTCTTGAAGGACTTGCTTTATGAATCTGGGTGCTCCTGTATTGGGTGCATATATATTTAGGATAGTTAGTTCTTCCTGTTGAATTGATCCCTTTACCATTATGTAATGGCCTTCTTTGTCTCTTTTGATCTTTGATGGTTTAAAGTCTGTTTTATCAGAGACTAGTATTGCAACCCTTGCTTTTTTTTGTTCTCCATTTGCTTGGTAGATCTACTATACTACAAGGCTACAGTAACCAAAACAGCATGGTACTGGTACCAAAACAGAGATATAGACCAATGGAACAGAACAGAGTCCTCAGAAATAATACCACACATCTACAGCCATCTGATCTTTGACAAACCTGAGAGAAATAAGAAATGGGGAAAGGATTCCCTATTTAATAAATGGTACTGGGAAAATTGGCTAGCCATAAGTAGAAAGCTGAAACTGGATCCTTTCCTTACTCCTTATACGAAAATTAATTCAAGATGGATTAGAGACTTAAATATTAGACCTAATACCATAAAAACCCTAGAAGAATACCTAGGTAGTACCATTCAGGACACAGGCATGGGCAAAGACTTCATGTCTAAAACACCAAAGGCAATGGCAGCAAAAGCCAAAATTGACAAATGAGATCTAATTAAACTAAAGAGCTTCTGCACAGCAAAAGAAACTACCATCAGAGTGAACAGGCAACCTACAGAATGGGAGAAAATTTTTGCAATCTACACATCTGACAAAGGGCTAATATCCAGAACCTACAAAGAACTCAAACAAATTTACAAGAAAAAAAAAAAAAAACAACCCCATCAAAAAGTGGGCAAAGGATATGAACAGACATTTCTCAAAAGAAGACATTCATACAGCCAACAGACACATGAAAAAATGCTCATCATCACTGGCCATCAGAGAAATGCAAATCAAAACCACAATGAGATACCATCTCACACCAGTTAGAATGGCGATCATTAAAAAGTCAGGAAACAACAGGTGCTGGAGAGGATGTGGAGAAATAGGGACACTTTTACACTGTTGGTGGGATTGTAAACTAGTTCAACCATTATGGAAAACAGTATGGTGATTCCTCAAGGATCTAGAACTAGATGTACCATATGGCCCAGCCATCCCATTACTGGGTGTATACCCAAAGGATTATAAATCATGCTGCTATAAAGACACATGCACACGTACATTTATTGCAGCACTATTCACAATAGCAAAGACTTGGAATCAACCCAAATGTCTATCAGTGACAGACTGGATTAAGAAAATGTGGCACATATACACCATGGAATACTATGCAGCCATAAAAAAGGATGAGTTTGTGTCCTTTGTAGGGACATGGATGCAGCTGGAAACCATCATTCTTAGCAAACTATCACAAGAACAGAAAACCAAACACCGCATGTTCTCACTCATAGGTGGGAACTGAACAATGAGATCACTTGGACTCGGGAAGGGGAACATCACACACCGGGGCCTATCACGGGGAGGGGGAAGGGGGGAGGGATGGCATTGGGAGTTATACCTGATGTAAATGACGAGTTGATGGGTGCTGACGAGTTGATGGGTGCAGCACACCAACATGGCACAAATATACATATGTAACAAACCTGCACGTTATGCACATGTATCCTAGAACTTAAAGTATAATAATAATAATAAATAAATAAATAAAAAAGTAAAAAAAAAAAAAAAGACTTTGAGAGACTGTAGGAAAGGCATGATTGGTTTTAAAATGTGAGGAAATAAGATTTGGGAGGGGCCAGAGGCAGAATGATGTGGTTTGGCTGTGTCCCCACCCAAATCTCATCTTGAATTCCCATGTGTTGTGGGAGGGACCTGGTGGGAGATAATTGAATCGTGGGGGCAGGTCTTTCTTGTGCTGTTCTTGTGATAGTGAATAAGTCTTATGAGAGCTGATGGTTTTAAAAATGGGAGTTTTCCTACACAAGCTCTCTTGTCTGCCACCATATGAGACATGCCTTTCACCTTCCATTATGATTGTGAGGCCTCCCCAGCCATGTGGAACTGTAAGTCCAATAAGCCTCTTTCTTTTGTAAATTGCCCAGTCTCGGGTATATCTTTATCAGCAGTGTGAAAACAGAATACACAGACTGTAAATTAGTTCAGTCATAGTGGAAAGCAGTGTGGCAATTTCTCAAAGAACTTAAAACAGAATTACCATTCAACCCAGCAGTCCCATGATTGGGTGTATACCCAAAGGAATATGAGCCATTTGACTATAAAGACACATACATGCATATACTCATCATAGCACTATTCACAATAGCAAAGACATGGAATCAACCTCCTAAATGCCCATCAATAGTAGACTGGATAAATAAAATGTGGTATATATACACTATGGAATACTATGCAACCATAAAAAAGAACAAGATTATGTCCTTTGCAGCAACATGAATGGAGTTTGAGGCCATTATCATAGGCAAACTAATTCAGGAACAGAAAACCAAATACTGAATGTTCTTGCTTATAAATGGGAGCAAACATTGACTACACATGAACACATGTGTACTTGAGGGTGGAAGGTAGAGGAGGGAGAGGACCTAAAAACCACCTATTGGATAGTAAGATTATTACCTAGGTGATGAGATAATCTGTACAACGAACCCCTGTGACATGCAATTTACCTATATAACAAACCAGCACATGTACCGCTGAACCTAAAAGAAAAGTTTTATAAAAAGCTGTACACAAAATGCAGACTTTATTGGAAACCCTCAAGGCAGTGACATCGTGTTGGGTATTCCCATTTAGGGTGATGGGGTCTTGAGTAAATATCTCAGCATTACTTGTATTATCAGAATGTGGGTATTTGTGCACTACTCTAATAATTGCCAATGGAAGAGGATTTGGTTTCCTCTGAAGCCTGGTGTTATAAAGAATTTACCAACTCCATACAACTTGATAGATTAAGTTGCTCATTTTGGGGGGTACTTCTATTTGGTACTTCCATTTAAGATATTCACCTAGGATGGAAAATGTTTTTAGTCCTCCAGTAAAGAATGGCTTTGCTAACACATGGTCAGCTTATTTAATATGTGGCATGTCATGTTTCTTCTAAGTCTAGAATAATTCAGATTTAATGTCACCTCTTATTGGATGCAGACATGGAGAATTACTCCTTCTTCTATGTTTCTGTTATAGGAGTTATCATATACACATGTATTATATCTGTCCCTCCTTCTCGCCTTCTCAAAACCAGATATTATGTCTTCTTCATCCATATATTCCCAACACTACACAATACTAGGGATTTAGCAAATATTCTTTTTCTTCCTTTCCCTTTTCTCCTCAAATCATGAGCAATGTGAACTTATTCTGATAATTATTTTGAAATGTAGAAGTAGGCCAGGTGGAGTGGCTCTTGCCTGTAATCCCAGCACTTTGGGAGGCCAAGGTGGGCAGATCACGAGGTCAGGAGTTCGAGACCAGCGTGGCCAACGTGATGAAACCCCATCTCTACTAGAAATACAAAAATTAGCTGGGCGTGGTGGTGGGCGTTTGTAACTCCAGCTACTTGGGAGGCTGAGGCAGGGTGAAGGAGCTGGAAATTGCAGTGAGCTGAGATCATGTCATTGCACTCCAGCCTGGGCAACAGGGCAAGACTCCATTTAAAAAAAAAAAAAAGAAAGAAAGAAAGAAAGAAATGTAGAAGTGTAGAGATGTTGCCTAAACAGGCCAGTTGATAACAGCTTAGAAAACTCAGGTCTGACCATAGAAACAAATGATGTCTCTAACACTGGCTTTTACCAAACTTTTTCTCTTCTCCAGATGCGGAAGCTTCAAAGGAGTGTGGAAAGTGTCTGGAAGGAAAGGTGTGCACCTTGGAGCTTTCCTTGGAGTGTATCATTGAGCTCTTTGTGTTTGGGTGGTGGGTCTTTGGAAGGTAAGACTTCTGACCTCCGAAGGGGTGGATCTCCAGAGAGTAGCCTGACTTCCTGAAGGGCATCCTGGAGAGGCAAGGGTGAGGGAGGCAGAAACCAGAGTTCATCTTGATCCTCTAGGAACTTGACCTTGAAGCAGAGGGCTGAGCAGGGCTGAGTATTTGAATGGAAGAAGAGGTGCACTTTGAGTGTGGCACTGAGATTCTAAGCATAGAACACTGTTATCTGCACTTAACACTGAAGAATGAAATCCACCTGCCTCAGCAAACCACATAGGGTGAACAAGATCTTGAATTACATAGAAGGTAACCATACATCCTGGTTTTCTGAAACAGTCCTGGCTAATGTCTCTTGTCCTGGCATAATTATTAACAGCATTCCTTTTTATTATCAAAAGTGTCTCAATTTGTACAATAAATTACTTGACCATTTTGTGTAGGATCAGTTTTCAATAGTGACATTATGTGTTCTCACAAAGCAATGGCAGTGGACCAAGGTGTCCCAGGTTGACTCCTGGCTGGTGTGACTGCTAGAATGACCCCTCCCTGCCCTTGGACTTAAGAGCTGTAAAGACTCCTGACAATTTAGGTGGGAGGAATAACTTCAAGAAGGAGTTCAAATATATCCTGTTTTTTTTTTTTTAAATTTAATACATGGTATATTATTCAATTTTATACAACTTTCTGAAAAGATATACTTCACTGCAGTGAACTGGACCTGTATGTGACCAGAATTTCTGTTTTCATCTAATACTAAGCTAATAGAGTAGAATTTTTTACCTTAAATTAAGAAGGTGACAGCCTCTGGGAACCATTCTATTCTCTATGCTTCCTCCTTAGCATGTAACTGACCCTATAAAAGTAACCTCAGTTTGGATTTTCCATTTAATCGAGAAGTTAATTAAAAGGATCTTTTATAAAATTTGCATGTGGCTAGATATTACTGGTTGGTTACACATTTTCATAATTTCTATAGTCATTGCACGATGCCTAGAAAATATGACCTGCTTGATACCAGCTTTCTTAAAGTTAATGACATTTTTAGACCTAAAACCTTATCATTTAAAATAATTTTCTCTTGTACTGGAAAATAATGTAGAGTATATCCTATTAGTAAGGCATGTGAGTATTTCAGCAATTAATTGGAAAAATAAGAGGTGTGATGTATATGCTACTTTGAGTTGGTGAAGCAATTTATACCAGTCATATTCTAGTTATTTTAGAATTGTTGCTTACTTTAGTCCTAGTGACCTGATTATTTACATGGTTCTTAAACTGAGCTCTTTGTAATAGCTTTCGCCACCTTAACCTACAGTCTTTATAAGTTATAATTTTTGCTTATACGAAGACACAGAGTTTAACAATGAAGTAGACCTTTGCTTTTGCATGTCCAGCATCCCTTTTCTCTTCCATAGGAACTGAGTCTGTTTTACTGGGAGAAATGCATTCCACATAGTTTAGGTGATTCCCTTACTTTGTTCTTCTTCTTTTACTACTCTTAATCCTTAATAAGGGGCTGAACATATGACATAAGCTTGACCAATCGGAGTATTCCATCCCTCTGGCCACATTGACTGTGGGACAGGGTAGGCAATTGACCTCAGATAGGCCAGTTTATGACTTTTTCTGGACTTTACTGCTGAACCTATTGGAAAATGCTTTTATTCTGCAAAGACTGCTAATCTGGTAGTACGAGATTTAGGTTGTTGGCAGCTATCTTGTCACTAAAAGGAGAAGACCCATCTGAAGAGAGAAGAAAAAGAAACGATGTCTCAAAGACATTGTTTTGAGGTTTCTTGCTCTAGCCTTGTCTAAAGCCCCAAATCTATTCATGCACTTAAAAAAATTTTGTGGGTACATAGTAGGTGTGTATATTTATGGGGTATATGAAACGTTTTGATACAGGTATGCAATGAGTAATAATCACATCATGTAAAATGATGTACCCATCTCCTCAAGCATTTATCCATTGTGTTTACAAACCAATTATACTCTTTTAGTTATTTAAAAATGTACAATTAAATTGTTATTGATGATAGTCACCCTGTTTTGCTATAAAATACTAGGTCTTACTTTAAAAAAGAAAATCCACTAAGCATTCTCACCTCCCTGCCATCACCCTTCACAACCTCTGGTAACCGTTCTTCTACTCTCTATCTTCATGAGTTCAATTATTTTGATTTTTAGGTTTTACAAATAAATGAGAACATGTGATGTGTGTCTTTTTGTGCATGGCTTATTTCACTTAGCATGATGGCCTCCAGTTCCAATGCAAATGACAGAATCTCATTTTCTTTTTATGGCTGGATAGCACTCTCTTGTGTAGATGTACCATATTTTCTTTATTCATTCATCTGTTGATGGGCACTTAGGTTGATTCCAAATTTTGGCTATTGTGAACAGTGCTGCAGTGAACATGAAAGTGTAGATGGCTCTTCAATATACTGATTTCCTTTGAGTATATACCCAGCAGTGGGATTGCTGAATCATATGGTAGCTCTGTTTTTTGTTATTATTGATATGTGGGAGTTAACTATGAGGACACAAAGGCATACGAATGATACAATGGACTTTGGGGACTTGTGGGGCAAAGTGGTGGGGGTGAGGGACAAAAATATAGGGACAAAAATATTTTTAAAAAGACTACAAATATAGTGCAGTGTATACTGCTGGGGTGATGGGTGCACCGGAATCTCACAAATCACCACTAAAGAACTTACTCATGTAGCCAAATACCAACTGTACCCCAATAACTTACAAAAAAAAGTTACTGATTTTTGTATGTTGATTTTGTATCCTGCAACTTTACTGAATTTGTTTATCATTTCTAAATAGTCTTTTGTGGTGTATTCTTTATTTTTTTCCAAATATAATATCATCTGAAAACAAGCAGAATTTGACTTCTTTCAATTTGGATGTTCTTTATTTCTCTATCTTTTCTGATTGCTCTAGCTAGGATTTCCAGTACTATATTGAATAACAGTAATGAAAGTGGACATGTTCCAGAAATTAGAGGAAAGGCCTTCAGTTTTTCCTCATTCAGTATGATACTAGCTGTGAGTCTGTCATATATGGCTTTTATTATGTTGAGATATGTTCTTTCTATCTCCAGTTCTTTGAGGGCTTTTATCATGAAACATTGTTGAATTTTATCAATTGCTTTTTCAGCATCAATTGAAATGATCATATGGTTTTTGTCCTTCATTCTGTACATATAATGAATCACATTGATTGATTTGTGTATGTTGAACTATCCCTGCATCCCAGGTCATCATATATGATCTTTTTAATGTATTGTTGAATTTGGTTTGCTGGTATTTTGTGGAGGATTTTGCACCAATATTCATCAGATATTTTGGCCTGTAGATTTCTTTTTTGATGTGTCTGTCTGGTTTTGGTGTCAGGGTAATATTGACCCTATAGAATGCATTTGGAAGTATTCCCTCCTCTTCTGCATTTTGGAATAGTTTGAATAGAATTGGTATTGTTCATCTTTGTTTATTTTTTAATTATACTTTAAGTTCTGAGGTACATGTGCAGAATGTGCAGGTTTGTTACATAGATAAACATGTGCCATGGTAGTTTGCTGCACCCATCAACCCATCATCTACATTAGGTATTTCTCCTAATGCTATCCCTCCCCTAACCTCCCACCCCCTGACAGGCCCCTGTGTGTGATGTTCCCCTCCATGTTCATGTGTTCTCTTGTTCAACTCCCACTTATGAGTAAGAATGGTGTTTGGTTTTCAGTTCTTGTGTTAATTTGCTGAGAATGATGGTTTCAAGCTTCATCTGTTGCACTGCAAAGTACATGAACTCATCCTTTTTTTATGGCTGCATAGTAGTCCATGGTGTATACGTGTCACAATTTCTTTATCTAGTCTATCATTGATGAGCATTTGGGTTGGTTCCAAGTCTTTGCTATTGTGAACAGTGCCACAATAAACATACGTGGGCATGTGTCTTTTTAGTAGAATGATTTATAATCCATTGGGGATATACTCGGTAATGGGATGGCTGGGTCAAATGGTATTTCTAGTTCTAGATCCTTGAGGAAATGCCACACTATCTTCCACAATGGTTGAACTAATTTACATTCCCACTAACAGTGTAAAAGCATTCCTATTTCTCCACTTTCTCCCCAGGATCTGTTGTTTCCTGATGTTTTAATGATTGCCATTCTAACTGGTGTGAGATGGTATCTCACTGTGGTTTTGATTTGCATTTCTCTAATGACCAGTGATGATGAGCTTTTTTTCACTTTTGTTGGCTGCATAAATGTCTTCTTTTGGAAAGTGTCTGTCCATATCCTTTGCCCACGTTTTGGTGGTTTCTTTTTTTTTTCTTGTAAATTTGTTTAAGTTCTTTGTAAATTCTGGATATCAGCCCTTTGTCAGATGGATACATTGCAAAAATTTTCTCCTATTCTGTAGGTTGTCTGTTCACTCTGATGACAGTTTTTTTTTTTTTGCTGTGGAGAAGCTCTTTAGTTAAGTATATCCCATTTGTCTATTTTGGCTTTTGTTGCCATTGCTTTTGGTGTCTTAGTCATGAAGTATTTGCTCATGCCTGTGTCCTGAATGGTATTGCCTAGGTTTTCTTCTAGGGTTTTTATGGTTTTAGGTCTTATGTTTAAGTCTTTAATCCATCTGGAGTTAATTTTTGTATAAGGTGTAAGGAAGGGATCCAGTTTCAGCTTTCTACATATGGTTAGCCAGTTTTCCCAACACCATTTATTAAATAGGGAATCCTTTCCCCATTTCTTGTTTTTGTCAGGTTTATCAAAGATCGGATGGTTGTATATGTGTGGCATTATTTCTGAGGCCTCTGTTCTGTTCCATTAGTCTATGTATGTGTTTTGGTACCAGTACCATGTTTTTTTGGTTACTGTAGCCTTGCAGTATAGTTTGAAGTCAGGTAGTGTGATGCCTCCAGCTTTGTTCTTTTTGCTTAGGATTGTCTTTGCTATATGGGCTCTTTTTTAGTTCCATATGAAATTTAAAGTAGTTTTTTCCAATTCTTTGAAGACAGTGAATGGTAGCTTGATGGGGATAGCACTGAATCTATAAATTACTTTGGGCAGTATGGCCATTTTCACGATATTGATTATTCCTATCTGTGAGCACGGAATGTTTTTCCATTTGTTTGTATCCTCTCTTATTTCCTTGAGGAGTGGTTTGTAGTTCTCTTTGAAGAGGTCCTTCTCTTCCCTTGTAAGTTATATTCCTAGGTATATTATTCTCTTTGTAGCAATTGTGAATGGGAGTTTACTCATGATTTGGCTCTCTGTTTGTCTATTATTGGTGTATAGGAATGCTTGTAATTTTTGCACATTGATTTTGTACCCTGAGATTTGCTGAAGTTGCTTATCAGCTTAAGGAGATTTTGGGCTGAGATGATGTGGTTTTCTAAATATACAATCATGTCATCTGCAAACAGAGACAATTTGACTTCCTCTTTTCCAAATTGAATACCTTTTATTTTTTTCTCTTGCTTGATTGCCCTGGCCAGAACTTCCGATACTATG